AGGAAGGAAGGAAGGAAGAAGGGTGAGGGGCAGGAGGGAGGAAGGCAGGCAGGTGCTGCTGTTCACATTCTCATAACAGCTGTTTGCAGACTTGGGTTTGTGGTCTCCTCGGGTGTACATCTCAAGTCCCTACACCACGCCAGTGTCAGGGGTTCACTAGGAGGCTTCCAGGCTTCAGCCCATAGTCCTACTCCTGGCTCTCATTGGCTGCAGTGAACGGACCCCACGCAGAGTCAGCAAAGGGAAAGTGCAGAGAGAAACGCAGGGGGCCAGCCCTGCTTCAAGCATCCTCCTGTAGACCTCACAGACACACTTACTTCCTCCAGCTCTGAGCTGTGACCACCCCACTGGCAAGGGGTGCTGTCTATCAGGGAGGCTGAGCATTCGAGGTTTCTGTTGGGGGCTGGTCATGTAGGCGCCCTCTGCCCAAAACACATTGAAATGCCAGACTCCCGGAAGGAAGCCGGCATCCAGCACAAGCACCTTGTGCAGCTTGGGGACACCTCACCCCCTTACCAGCTACAGAATGGTGAGAGCACCCACCAAGTCCAAGTTCCCAGACTTCACCAAGGATGGAAGTCTCTGGCCTGCTATGTACACTTTCTCACAGGTGTACACCAAGGAGTGAGATTGCGAGGTCACACGGCACCTCCATATTGAACTCCACATGCCAAACTGTTTTCCAAAGCATTCTCGTTCCCACGAGCAGTTTACAAAGGCACCAATTTCTCCCCACCCCGGCCAACACTTGCTGTTGTCCATGTTATTTTATTGTAACCATCCTCGTGAGACTAATAGGGTTTTAAACTAGCGATTTGCAAGCAGTTAGAACAAAGAATAATGATTTGTAAGAGCCAGAATGAGTTTTCTAAGACCAAACGGTGCCAATCCAACCCATGAGTTCTTCTTTTAAAAAAAAAAAAGCCCCAGAAAACAATCTCTCCTTTCTACAGGAGCTGTCCCAGGCCAGAGTGTTTCTGCATTTCAGCCCTGTCGTACACAGCATCTCCGTACAAAGAAGGCGACACGGGGCAGGGGACATGTTCAGCCGGGCCCTGGCTTGCTGGCGGCTGACGTGCTAAGAGCAGCCCGGATGGGAGCGTGACCCCTCACTACTGCTTCTCCCAGGCCCAACATTTAATGTTTCTGTGCAAAACTTGGGGGGAGACACCAGTAACAGTCACAGCGAGTTTGCAGATTTCCCGAAGATGGCAGGCACACGTGTGGAATGGTAAGATCTGGCTGTTAGGGGGAGGACTGTCCTGAACCAGCTCTGCAGATGCAGGCTCTGTGGACTCCACCCCCACTCCTGGCCCTGAAAATACGGCTCCCAGGAACTGTAGGGAGGAGCGCTAGGACCCAAGGGCGGAGGGAAGCAGCCATTTTGTTTTTTTTTTTTTTATATAAAACCGGACATGTTAGGCTGAGGGTCTCTCTTGGCCCTGTGGCAGGTGACTGGTCGGTTGGCTCTTCATTAGCTTTCAGCGTGCTCTTGGGGTTCCAGGTCAGTGGAACTGGTAGGACGCATCCGTTAACTTTCTCTCTCTCTCTCTCTTTTATCCTGGGTTGTTCTTTTCCTTTTTCCCCTTGTAAAGAAACCAGTTACTGACCTTTTTGTGTGTGTCTGCAGTTGGATGTTAAGAGCACGAGTGAGGACCCACCGACAGGCAACCCACTTCACTTTGGGTTGCCCTGGAACAGTTCTAGAAAGATCCTGACAACATGGGCTTGCACACAGGGTCCAAGCAGGTGCAAGGATGAGGGACAGGTGCCCCGTACCTGCAGGACCTGTCCAGATGCCACAGCCGTTTGCACTCCAGCTCTGCCCATTACCGAGAGTGGAGCCAGCCATGGCAAACAGGACAGCGGTGGGCCACTCTGGAAAAGCCTCAGGCCGTGGGGTCTGCGGTGACAGGGATCAGAGCTCTGCCATGAGGGGGCGGTTGAAAGAGCTGGACTGGCTGTCTCGCTGGCCAGTGAGTAGCCAAAGATGACTGGAGAGCTGGCTCTTCCCGTGGGAGGTCTGAGGTGCAGGAACATGAATTGGCCGTTCCTTGACCAGACGACAGTGGACGTGCACTGACTATGTGGGAACGTGCTAAAGCTCTGCCATTGAGCTGGTTGCCCGGAAAGGTGGCGGGCGCCCCCGCTGGCGTGTCCAAAGACACACTGAGTCCTTATTAAGGAGCCTGCGTGGAGGAGGAGGAGCTGCTTTGAGGTCCTAGAGCTGGCCAAGCATGAAGACAGGGACAGTCCATCTCTAAAGCCACGGCCAGGAATCTCCAGCTCTAGCCTGAGAGTGTCTCCTGCCCTCACAGTCCTACCTGTACACCAGGATGTGTGGGTGGCCATGAAGCTTCCCTAGAGACCTGTGCTTGACCTGGCCTGAGGGCCGCTGCTCATCCCACCTGCCTTATCTGTGTGTGGACCTTCACTCCCTGCCTGTGCTAGGCTCGTTTTCTTGGGTGTTCGTTCAGCATTCATTACGTTCATTCAGCCCCTGCAGCAGGCGCTGGGCAGCAGAGAGCTCTTCCAAGTGAAAAAGCTTCACCTCAAGCTGCAGAGGCTTTGCGGGAAGAGAGCAGGGTAGTGTGGAGGCCTGACTTGGGCGCGCCTAGGGAGAGTCTCCCTGCAGCTGTCCTTTCGGCTGGGAAGCCGAGGAAGATAGGCTTTTGGCAGGGAAATCGGAGGTGGGGCCTGAGATCATTCCCACCAGGCTGCCGCCCAGCTGTGCCCGGGCACAGGCAGGGCCCCAGGTAGATGGAATAAGGACCGTCGGCCTCGGGGTGGTGCCTGTCTTCTGCTCACCCAGCGCCTGGGCTGAGCCAGTCACGACCCAAGGTGGGGGGAGGCATGTGTGCATTTGCGGGTCTGTGTGTGTGTGACTAAGAGCAGCTCTGATTGCTGCTTGAATCTGGTCCCAGGGACACGGGGATTATTTGTGCCTTCACTCCCCTCCGCTGACGTGGATGGCTGTGAGAACAGGCCACGTTCCAAACATCTCCACGTCCCTGCAGTGACAGCGCCTTTGAGAACATGCAGATACCTATGATTCTCTTAATTACTCCTGTACGCCCACTTCCCCCTCTGTCTTTTAAGCAGGAGGGGTTTGGGGGGGAGGGAACAGCCTCCCCCCACCCCCGACCTCTGCTCCTTCTTTCCTTCTGTCATTTATGCTTTAGCAGCTTCCTGCTGCTCCCCACCTAGCCACCCCCCCATTGCTCCACTCACACTGACTTCATCAAGGGGGCCCCCAGATAAGAGAGATTGAGGGAGGAGGCCAGTTTCCCTGAAGTGCTTGTACCCCATAATTAGTTTCCGTTATTGCCAATTCAAGATAAGTAGAAAATAACAGAGCAATGGAACCAGGACGTGAAGCCCGCGCCGAGAGCCTGGCACGCACTGTCGTGACATTTGCATGGGAAGCCAAGTCCCAGGCGTGGCGGCGGGGTCTGCGGGCCGGGGCTTGCGCGAGCCAGATCCCAGCCCTGTTGCTGGGCCATGCTGGCCATATCCTGTCTCTCTGAGCCTCGATTTTACCGTCTGGGAAATGGAGAGATGGCACTGTTTAATAGATTATTCTGCCATTCCGCAGAGAGCCCAGGCTGTAAGGCTGCGAGGCGCCCGCCTGGTCTGGGCATTGGGCTGCAACAACTGGCACCGCCATGCTATTGGCCAGACGTGCCTGCAGAGGGCTGCAGCCCGTGGCATGGAGGAGGCGGGTGGGGGCGGACATAATGTGGGGAGCCGAGGCAGGAAAGCAGGCCTGGAGATGGGAGGGGAAACGCAAAAGGCCGCCAGGGCCAGGAAGTGAGCCGATCACACGGGCTACACCGGTGGCCTCCAGGGTGGCCCTGGGCATACCACGCGGGCTTGTTAGAAGGACCGTCTCGGACCTCACCACTGACCTCCTGCGTCGGAAGCCCAGAGACTCTGATGTGTGAGGGGAGGTGGGTTGGCTGGGGGGCAGGGGGTGTAGATGGGTGGACGAGGCTTGGAAAACAAAACGGGCACTTTGAAGGCTGAGGAGGGAGGAGAACTAGTGTGTATTGATTACTTGCTAGGTGAGCTGGAAACTGGACATTTCCAGCTACTTTTCTCTCATTTAAACCTCTCAGGAGTGTGGCAAAGCAGGCCTTCTTGTTCCCGCTCCAAAGGTGAGGTTCCTGAGGTGGACTTAGAACCCAGGCCTCTCTGGCCCCATTCCCTGGACGCCTTTGACAAATGCTCACTGCTGCCCATAACGCCAAGCATATGCTGGGTGCTGAAGGGGAAACTGAGCCAACACAGTGTAATTTCTGATTTCCAGGAGTTTATGGAGCTGAGCCAGGGAAACAAAAAAGTGGCAGTGATCGACTGGGGTAAGGGGCCTGGGATGCCCAGCTGGATCAAGCCAAGGAACTCAAAAGAGATTCAGATGTTGACATGAGGGGTAGCACCAGGCTTTGGAGACAGCCCTGAAGCTTTGCAGCAACCCAAAGGCCATGGCGCCGGTTCCCAACACTCTCTCACTGGTCTCTGTGGACAGGTCTCTGTGGACAGTTATCTCTTGTCCTGTTTCCTTATCCACAAAGCAGAATTAGCCATAACTAGCTTGAGGGATTGTTCTATTGATGAATGGCACACACTCAGAGCCGTCTTGGCATAGGCCGGCAGTGCCTGATTCTCATTCCCTCCCCTTCAGGGGCCCGCTTTAGGCCAGAGCCAACCAGAGCCAACCAGGGAAGGCTTCCTGGAAGAGGTGGCTTTTCACTGAAGGATAGTGGGAATTGAGTTGTTCTTGTGTCTTCCTTAAGGAATCCACAGATGGACTCTGGATTTGCGGTGGGGTGGCTGTTGACAATGAATAAAATGATGAGAGAACTTGCCTTTCTCAGCTTAAGAGATGAGTTGTTGAACCTGGCTTCAAACCCTGTGGCAGAGGGCGGAACCAGGCGGCCAGTCTGCCGCCTCGTTGGGCATCTTCACACTCAGGTTCTGTCTCCCGCTTTTCCTTGCAGATGATGCAGTTTGCCTGGCAGAACTACAAGCGCTACGCCATGGGCAAAAATGAGCTCCGGCCGCTCACGAAAGACGGCTACGAGGGCAGCATGTTTGGTGAGCTGACGCGGGCACGGCCTGCCCTCCCGCTGGGTCCCCTGTGGCTGTCCACCCCTGGGCTGTGTTCCCGCCTCTCTGGGCCTGGGCCCGTCAGGCCTCTGAGCCACCTAGGTCTGGGGGAGACCCAAACTTCTCTCTGGGCACCTGATGTTTATTTTTTGAAAACTGAACTTGGAAACATGAGCGGGGTTGGTGAGGGATGGGAAGTTGTTTGCCAGGAAGGTCGGGGCTCTGGAAGACAGAGACCGGGTGTGAGTCTGCTCCCCGGCACGCGCCGTGGGATGACCGTGGTCTTTTCATGGAGAAACAGACATGTTCCTGATGGGGCCGGCACGTGTGTGGCCTTTCAGGCCCTGGGGCCTGTGTCTCGCATGCCGTGTTGGGAGGCAGAAGCTGGCTGGAGGCAGAAGCTGGCTGGAGGTGGAGCCGCCCGGCGCTGCCCGTGTGGACAGTCGTGCTCCGTGGCCAGCGTCACTGTTGCCCCTGCCCCTCCCCGCCACGGCTTCTCCTAACCCAGAGCCCCAAAAGGCTCCGTGGCCAGCGTCACTGTTGCCCCTGCCCCTCCCCGCCACGGCTTCTCCTAACCCAGAGCCCCAAAAGGCTCTCCCAGAGACGTGGGTGCAGCCTTACTGTGGGCACAGCCTCAGGTTTCAAATTTAACACCCTTCCGAGCCGCCAGCCCCTGCCTCTGCAGGCCTCTCACGGAGAAGTTGCTGGAGGCAGCCTGGTCGCCTCCTTCCCTCGCCGCCAGGGCCGGTGGGGTGCGGGGGAGACTCAGTGCCTGTGCTCCCCATGCCCTGGAGACACGGGCTCCAGAGGTCTAGAACCACAGAGCCAGGTCAGATGCCGATTCCGAGGAAAACCGTAAACGCAGGTTTACGCACACACGTGCGGCGTGGCCTGTCACAGTGGGTGTTGTGGGGAAGTGGCACGGGGACCCCCCCAGCATCACGCCTCCAGGTCACCGTGGAACAGGGGTGGGGTTGGCGTTTTGAATTTGGGAAACTCCTTTTCTTGCTTGCTGGCTGTCCTAGGAAGGGGGGTGCGAAGCCGGCAAACACACGTGGCCGGCCACGGCGCTGCGGCCGCTCACGCCTTTGCCCGCTTCCTCCCTGCCTTTTCTGCCACGCGCCTTTTATTCCGTTATGTTTTATGTCCTTTCTCTTTCCTGGCTTAATGTTTCATCGCAAGTATTTCCCCAGCTCATTTAGTTTTTTTCATAAAGATGCTCTGTGGCTGCGCCCGTCCCGGGGAGGCGCCGTCACTCACGTGGCCGACCCGCGTGGGCTGGGCAACGCCGTTTCCAATTCTCACTGTTAAAAATAATGCAGCAGTTTTCATCTCCGGGCCTGAAATGTTATCTTAGGAGAGATTCCTAGAGATTCCTGAGTCAGAGGGAGGAAGACACATGTTCCTGTAACCTCAAATACAAAACGTGGACGCCAGTTTAGGGGCCCCGCTGTCTTGTCTGTGGAGGACACAGACCTCCCACGAACACCCCACATCAGTCCTGGGGAAAGGTGGCCCATGTGGGGTTTCGTCTGCTGCTCCGAATCACGGCCGTGATAAAGGAAGCCTTCTCTTCTTCCCTCTGCACAGTCTGCAAAGACCCAGGGCACTCACGGTGGCGGGGGGAAGGGCAGCCTGCTGACCTCTGAAAGCTCACAGCCTGGCCACCGCTACTGCTCTGACTGTCTGCGCCTTGTAATTCCTCCTTGTGATTAAAATAACCCTCCAACTCCCAGCCATGCATGGAGCCTGGTGGAGACGGGCAGCAGGCGCGGTCAAGTCGGAACACCTGGACACAAGTCCTCACTCTGCCCAGAGCTATTTGTGTTGTCAAGTCTGAGTCACTCAAGAGTATGTTTGAAATTAAAAAAAAAAAAAAGAAAAAGAAAGAAAGGCCACGTACATATGAAGATGTGATGTAATATGTGAGTTCGGCAGTGGCCCAGGCGACCCATGTGAAGTTCTGAGCCCCCTGGGTTCTCTGGCGCCCAAGGCCATCCTTCACAAGGCCCGGGCCCCCCATTATTCAGTGTCTTCCTTCTGCACCCAGCCTATGAGCCGTGGCAGCTGGTCCTGGGAAGGGAGGGCGTGTAGGGACCCAGGCACCTGGCAGGAGAACTGAGCTTGACTGATTTTTTTTTTTCATGCATCAAATGATTGTTTGGTGTCACGTCTGGTCCTGATGGCTAGAGATAAGAGATAAATGGCACAGCGAAAATTCCACCAACCCAGCCAAGACTTACTCTGGCAGCCCTTCGCGGGCCCCTCGGGCTTCCTTCTCAGTGCTCTAAGGAGAGGGACAGGAGCGTGGGGTCACGTGTGTCGCTGCCTCTGGGTCTGGGCTTCAGACTCGGTCTCTGTTCCTGCTCAGTGGCCCTGGGCACGTCACATCTCTTTGAGCCCAAGTTTTCTGTAAAGTGAGCTAGTGAAATTGTCAGCTGCCCAGATCGGGCCTGCTTGACACCTCAAACCTGCTGATGGGCGGTAGCCGTGATCGTTGTGGCTTCTGATGCAGAGACCCAGGACGACATGCAAGAGGATGAGGGCGAGGAGGCATCAGGGGCCAGGGGGAGGCTCTGGCCTGGGGTGAGCCACAGGGGGCTTCGGAGCCAAACCATTCCCCAAAGATAGAAGGAGGCAGAGTGGCCTGGATTAAGCTCCTGCCCCTCCTCCTGTCTGGGGACTCATGTGGAGGCTGGGTGACATCATCCCGACCCTAGCCGCCCTCACGGTGACCCCCTGTTCGGGCTGGAGGATGCCCAGGCAGTGGCCCTGCCTGCCCTGCTGCTCTGGCTGAGTCACTGTGCTACTGCCCAGACGCTGAGGCACGTCAGCGTGGACGCGGGCCTTTGCAGCCTCCTCCCCCAGCAGCCAGGAGGGTGTCTGCAGGGATGTTTAAGGAGTTCACCGTGGTTTGCACTTTGCTGGGCTTACAGGAGCTGCACGGAGGACAAGGGAAACCTGGTCTGGCTCCCCTGGATGGCATGTCACCAAGCCGCACCCCTCCCGATAGCCCACGCCCCCTCCCGAATCTGTGGCAGACCAGGACACCACCTACCTCTTCCCCTTCCTCTGAGAGGCGGTCACGTGGGGGAATTGGTGTCCAGCTGGGGGGGCAGAAAGAGGGTGGACACTGAGTGCCAGCGGGCCTGAGTGCAGCCCCTGTCACTTAGCAGCTTGTCACTCAAGCTGCCTCCTGGCAGTGGTGACAGCAGAGCGAAGAGGCCAGGCGCAGGGGCCCTTGGTGCGGTGCTCCTGTGGCTGTGCGGTCACCAGGGAGTCTGCCTGTGCGGGGCACATTGAGGGGAGGGCAGGGGAGCCCCGGCATCCTCGCCTGGGGTGGGGGGCGGGGGAGGAACGGGGATGACCCCTG